TCTACTGGTAATTATCATGTATACATGATCATTTACTGTAGGGAAGGCTTAAAGAGACCCTGTCACCAAACCATTTCAACAACAATCTTTCTGTAAGATATGTGCCTTCAATATATTTTATTCATGATACTTACATGTTAAACCCTCTCTTGTGTAGACATCCATAAGGTCTGAGACTGCCACCATCTTGTATGCAATGTCAAAAGCTCCAGCAGACTGGATCTGACACTCTATAGTATTCCACTTCATTCCTCCCTTGGCAGCTATTTAAAAGTTATGTAGGGAGGTGACGGGGGGGGGGGGGGGGGGGGGGGGGGGGGGGGGGGTCAGATAGACCTAGCCCCTCAGCCAGAGCGGAGAAAGTTGGAGTCTCTTGAGACCTCCAAAATATAGAAGAAGCAGTAAGAGTACGACACTAAATGGCCAAAATCAGCATAAGACAAGATGTGTTTCGGGGGATGAAGGGGGAGCATCTTAACCCCTGAAGCACGTAGGCCTTTTTTTACTATTTGTCCAATAGAACATCATTTTATACTCTTTGGACATTAGTGGGACTCAATTTTTATAGTGGTCTATATAAAAAAAATGCCAGGGCGGGAGGGAGCGGGGGTGGTGGGGTTGGTTTTGAGAGAACAGTTGTAAACTATGAAGAAATGTCGAAGGCAATGGAAAGAATACAACCCTCTGGAACAGAAATCATGCAGAGAAGATGGAACGGATTGAGAAAGTGAGAAATGGGGGATGACCTTTGGGTTCCGGTCAACCCAAGCTGTTCGGATTTCGCCAAGCAGGCAAACAATTTGGCCAGCTCGCCCTTGCCTGTGTTCCAGCAACCAATGAGGCTGTGCAACCTTCACTGGTTGACTGGTGGTTGAGCTAGACAGAGTCAATGGTTGCAAAGATGCCCATCAGGGGTAGTGGTTGTTCTTGTGGGCCCATCTAGGTCCTAGCAGGCCCAGCCACTAGTGTCCTAGCAACCAGTGACGTGTGTGCGTTGAACAGTGTCGTTGGGTGTTAGAGCATATGTGGCCTTGGTTCCCTTTTGGTCGCTGGGTGAAAGTCCATGAGAACCGGACCCAAGCTATTTTCTCGTCAGTAGCAAGAAAGAAGGTGGATGGAGCTAGAAAGAGAACATAGAGCAATGGATTGATAGATCGAGAGATACAGGGTGGAGAAAAATGCTGGAGCAAGAGAAGGAAAGGAGCGAGCAAGCAAGAGAAGGAAAGAGCAAGAGAAGGAAAGAGCAAGAGAAGGAAAGAGCAAGAGAAGGAAAGAGCAAGAGAAGGAAAGAGCAAGAGAAGGAAAGAGCAAGAGAAGGAAAGAGCAAGAGAAGG